TTTTTTTTTTTTTTTTTATGTGGTTCTATAATGTCTGCAAGTGTTTTTGTTGTGCCCACGAAAAGCTGATCTAGCACAGGTGGATTTTGCTTTATTTTTAAATTTTTATTTCTGTGCCGCTGAGAAGTCTCCTGATGGGATCGCTCTCCAAAATAATGATTAGTTTATGGGTCTTCAACAAGGAATTTCAGCAGAGAATAACTTATGGGAATCGTCTCCTATCTTTGTCAAAAGCAGATGGAAAGTGTCTCCATCGCATATTTCTCCGGGAAAGAGGGTCGGGATTGGCCGAGCGCTGAAATGCTGCGGTAGGGTAATACATTAATTCTGGGTTTTGCTGCCTAAATTATGAGCTTCCATTAGTCAATCCCATTTACCCTTGAGACTGCCCATAGTTTACAGCACATCTGAAATAAGAACAAACAGATGAGGAATGTCATCTTTTAAAAATATACACACATAGCTTTGTTTAAGGAAAATGCCAACAGAATTATCGTTAAGATTTTCCTCCAGAAAATTATTGAAAACAAGTACCCGGAGATACACCTCAATGCAGGATTTAGTACAGTCCTTCAAAATTCATTACAAAGTAACCACATTCCTAAAACCCAGAGAATCAGACATAGGTGACAGTGAAAGATTATATAAAAACAAAAGACAGTCCTTGTAATAAGTAAATGATAAGTGTTAACAGTTTGGGAAAATCCTTAAAATGTAACAGATAACACATTGAGTTGGAGAGGATCTATAGGGGGCCCATTTATTTTGTGTTTTATGAAACTGAATCTAATTGACTAGTTGCAATAATCAAGTTTCTTCCAGTAGACAGACCCTCGCAGTAGTTTAGGGGGCAGATGGGATGTTCTTGCTGGAGGGGTGGCCTGTGGGCACCTTGTGTTTACCTCCCGGCCACATTAGACAAACACCTTGTATCCTATTTGCTTTTAACCCCTTCGTCTCTACTAGTATAAACAGTCAGCATTGGTTTGATTTCCTGAAAATGTTGCTAAATGTCATTTGTTGTTTATTTGTAACATTGTAAAGAAACGTTAGCTACATGTATCACCAAAGAATTTCTAGACCTTTCAGGAAATGGTATGTGATTTTAACGTCTGATGTGAGATGTTTTCACATGTATTTTTTAAAAAGCTGTGTGTACCTGAACAGCAACAATGATAAAAAGTCTCAAGCGTCCCTTGGTATAAAGAGAGACACAGAAAGTCGCATGGCTGGTGCTGATATTTATCCTGACTTTCTCCTTTGGCCTGGTCTTTAACACACAGATAGACAATAAATCTGGTGTCTTTGGATAGTCAGCTGGGTTCATCGAATGGAAAACTCTCGGGAGTTTCCAGTCTTTTCATTAAAGGCCTGAGCCTCCGGAGCAGGGTCAGAGGCACCTGGCGTGGAGGGAGGGGGAGGTGACGCCTACTTAGTGGACGTTGACCCCCCCGTTTCTCCCGCTTTAAAGAAAACATCTTCTGTAACTTTTGCAAGGTCTGCGCGGATCTTCAGTGGGTTCCTGTATTCCAAAAACGAGTTTTCTCTGAGAGCTTGTAGTTACCCGGGGGGACAGAGNATTTCTCCCGCTTTAAAGAAAACATCTTCTGTAACTTCTGCAAGGTCTGCGCGGATCTTCAGTGGGTTCCTGTACTCCAAAAACGAGTTTTCTCTGAGAGCTTGTAGTTACCCGGGGGGACAGAGTACGGCCCTCTCAGCATCCAGTGTGTGTCAGCAGCCTTTTCCTCCCTCCTGAAAAGTCAGCCCTTGGAGGCGTTTGTGAGCTGCGGTGATCGGAACGCTAGCGGGTCTCCGCGGAACGTGAATCCCCGTGGAGCATGGAGGCGCAGAGTTTCAGTAGAGCTTTTGACTGGTCAGAAGAAGTGAATGAAAGACCGAGCCACCTGAATTACAGGCGGTGTTTTCTTATGAAACACCCATCGGTAAGGTCCAACGCAGGGAGCTGGCCTCTGTGTGTGGCTGTTGTTCCCTTGAACAGCAGCAGAAAGTCTGCTGGTCCCTCGGGCAGGGTCGGGCCAGAGGCCTGGGACTTGGAGAGTGGCTGTTTGGGGTCCTTTGAGATACAGCATTGTGTCGAGATTTACTGAAAACTGCATATTTTCAGACAAGTCTTGAGCCTGAAAATACTGAGTTTCCATCATCCCGCCTCCCTGTATTGTGGACAGACGGCCCCGACGCCGGATTCCTTGTGCCTGCAAGACGCTCATAAAGTAAACTCCGTGAGCCGAGCACCATAACTCATAGCTCCAGTTTAAAGCTGGGTTTAAAAAAACAAATATTTTAATAAGCCAATTTTAGAGGTTGGGGTTTTATGACAGTTTTTAAGCTGCGTGTGTATATTCATCTATTCTCACTGGTCTCTTTAAAACCCCGTGAATGCGCACTGGAATGTCTGTTTATATTTGTGTCTTTTCATGGGGAAGGATAAATGTTCTGCAGAAGGCAGACCAAAGACAGAGCTCTCCACCCGCAGAGAGCTCACGGACGGGGCAATAAAACCCCGAGACGAGAAGCGTGTGTGACCGTAGCCGGGGCGCAGAAAGCTGCAAGGAGCAGGAGAGGCTCAGGGAGGCCGACACGGGCGCGTGCGACCCCGCGCCGCTGGAGACAGGAGCTGCGTGGCGAGGCGCTCCACGCGGCCGCCTGGGACCCTGCGTGGGATGGGCCGTAAGGGAGGGAGCTCACGCCCGCACACGCACGTGCACACATATGCACACGCGCCCGGTGCATGCAAAACTGGGGAGAGTGGGATCGGCCTGGAGACGGCGCCGTGTGGGTCTCCCGGCTGCGACGCTGGGCAGGGGGCGAGGCGTTGCGCTTGGGGGACCGAGCGACGAGGAGAGCAGGTCTCCCTGCATTATTTCTTGCAACTCCGCGTGCATCTACTGGTACCTCAAAAATCAAACGTTAAGAAGAGTTATTCCGCAAGGATTAATTTTTCCCCCGATACACAAACGCGCAAATTATAGAAGGAATTACTATGCCTTGTCTCAGAGCAATAAACCAGAAATGCGCTGTGAGGAAAACCCGTGTTTTCCTGCTGTCCTTTGTGTTGCTGGGCTCCTTTTCAGGACACGAGGCATCTCAGCGTGTTTCCAATAGACAGTTCATTCGAGGTGGTTTTCTGTAATTCTGAAAGAGCAGAATTCCAGAAACCTGAGGGAATACCAATCAAAACATTTATTCCTGTACTAAAAAAGAAAATAGTTTTTCAAAGGAATTTTAGGAAATATTTACCTGAAATGGGCACATCTGCTTTTAACTGAGTGTGTATTGACTTACGTCACACACACACAGACACGCTCTTCTAAAGACAAAGATTTATAAAAATCATTCACTGAGAGGTGAATGACACCCTAAAGGGGTCATTTTTAGAGCCGTACACAGTTAGTGGGAGCAGGGGGGTTGGGGGGCGAGAGAAAGAGAGAAAAATATCAAATCCGCAATTCATTCGCGGTTATTTTAAATTAGTGTTTGTTGTCCTGGGAACATACTTTGTATTTGGTTCAATAGTAAACCTTCGAGTGCAATTTAGTTACATTAAATGTGTCTAATTTCAGGCTAGTGCTGGACTGAGACACAGGCACGTGCTTGAGAAACAGGGTGACTTTCGGGCTGGTGCTCACCCAGGCCCAGTGCGAGTGTCCTCAGCGGTCACTCACGATTGTCCCCGTGAAAGGAGACCTGGGTCAGAAACTGGCAAAG